CATGGCCCACGAAAATATGAGATAATAAAGATAAACAATTTGATCAACCGACAAAATGTGCTTGCTCAATTAATCATCAATTATTTGATTTACTAAGGACATTATAAAAGTATAAGAATTGAGTTATGCTAATATAAAGAATAAGGACTAAATTGTAAACTTGAACATAGTAAAGGAATCAAAATAGTAATATGTTCCTTAATTGTTAACGGGAAGTCGGGAATCAAATTTCCTTGAGCTGTGCGCGAGCCGATTGCGGGATTAACTTTTGTTTTTCTTTAAACCTGGAGAGTTGAAGTGCCCATTGATTAATACAAGATTAACTCTCAAATCATGGATATGGAGGTCTCCCACGGAATCTACTCTCAACTTGACGTTGGGGACAGTTTACTATCTTACCTCCCCTTACCTCATTACATATGGGAATAAGGGTCACCTAATTTTTGGGGACAATTTTCAATATATTAAATTTAGTCCAACTTATAATAAATCAAAGTGACGCTAGTGGTAAAAAAAATATTATTCATACGTAGAGAACTTGAAATCAGACGATAGCGTCTGCAGAGTGTATAAACATGATCGTCGCGTTAGAAAAGTTCTGAACATTTTTAACTTTATAAGCATCCTAGATTACAAAAAAAAAAAATTGATTTGATTCAATTTCTATATATAATTTGTTGACTGATGATGTAGGCAATAACCGTGGAAGGTAATCGGATGACGACTCGGATGATAGGTTGTCTCCGTTTGGAGACGTTGGTCTTAGTATACTTCAATTTCTATGACTATCGTCCCGCTATCTTAATCAACCAACATCCTTTGTGGATTATAGGTTAACGCTTAATTAGGCACTGTAATTTAACTTTCGATTCGTCTCGCATCACCGACACATCTAATCAGTGGCTTTACTATGGAATGTTTTAACATCATCACTCCTTCAAAATCAAACTGTTTCCCACTCAGTGAGTCAGTATACGGGATGGACCTAATTGACCCATTTTTAACATTTCTCATATGTTTTGCGGTCCTGCGAGTTGTGTGCTGCTGTAAGCCCAATTAATTGATGAATGATAATAACTACTTACAATCTTATGTTCTAGAGATGATCATCCAGCTCAGTTGGTAGAGCACAAGGTTCTTAACTTCGAGGTCGTGGGATCGAGTCACATGGAGGGCATTTCATAATTTGGAGGTCTTCTACGGAAGTTGCTCTCAACCTAGTGTTGGGGCAGCCTACTATCTTACATCCCCCTTACCCCATTACATATGGGAACAAGGGACATCCATTTTTTAATCTTATGTACTAAAACGATCAAATGATTTATTTAAACAAAAAGTGTGAAAAGTTAGACTAGATATGTATTTAGTTCAAATTTTTAAAATTTATCGAGTGTTTTTAGTGCGTTATTAATGATTAAAAAAGATTTTGAATAGATATTATTTTATAATTATCTCGTACTATTCGGGGGGGAATCACTTACTAATATAAAATTTTAAAACTTTTTTTTTATCATTATGGGTTTATTATAAGGGATAATACATGTTCGAAAGGCTATGGATCCATTAGGGTGTAATTTTGATGGTTAAAGTCTGAATTCAGATCACTCCACCTCACTTAACATGGAGTTCCTTTTCTCTTAATCTTATAGGTTGGTTAAAATCTAATCTCAATAATTCTGTAGGTATGGTGGAGACCGTATATTACTGGAGGAACTTGTTTGGAATTCTGATTTGGGGACTTTAGAAGCAACGGCGCAATTTTGTTTTCAAGGGCGAGGTCTGGTCCACCACTACCATCATCTAGTCCATTGGCCCAATCCGTTTGGGCTATAACCTCCTCCGTCACCTCCAAAGATAATCGCATGCCCAAGTAACAAATTTGGAGACCTCCCACACCAGGAGTGGTCAAGCTCAGCACGGATGGAGCCGTCAATCAGTCCATGATGGAAGTGGTGGGAAGCGTTATATTAAGGGACGCCGAAGGCGTTTGGTTATCAGGACACTCCTGCAGCATTGGGCGATGCTCTGTCCTTCACGCAGAACTTTGGGTCCTTCTCGTCGGTTTGAACATTACTTGGAATCGAGGTTACAGATAAATCGTTGCAGAGATGGACAACCAGGAAGCAATCAAGATCCTCTCCTCTCCACCGCCGACCTTTGAACGTGCCATAATCCGCAAAAATCGAGGACTTCTCCAACGTCAGTGGAGCATTAGGATCACTCACATAAACTATGAGGCTAACCGTGTGGTTGATGCACTCGCCCGTCTTAGCCAGACAGCACCTGATGTGCTTTTTGAGATGTCATACCGGCCTAATGGAATTCATCGGCTTCTCCAGTTGGACATGGACATTTGGAGAAGAAGTATCACTTGCTGCTTAAGCAGCTCTCTGTTATCTTTAATTCAGAAGTTCGTTCGATCTTTCGTTGTAAGGTAATTATAATATTTTTTATAATTATATATGATTATTTTTTAAAAAATATTATACTAATTGTTTTCAATTAATTTTTTTGGTTGTAAAATTGGAAAGCGGGAGTATACATCGAAATATTTTTGCCGATACGGTAATAATATAAAATTATATTATTTAAATTATTTATGTTTATGCGTAAAAATTTTATTACGTTATATTTTAATTCATATATTATTTATTTAATTAGGCTTGTTTCAGGTTTTTTTTGCAAATATAAGATTGTCTTACTTTCAAACTTTAAGAATAATGCGAATTTTAGCTATTGTTTATTATGATAAAGAAATTCGGGAAGATGAAACCGGCGTTGTTTTCGTATCAAATCATTATGTTAAAATATCCTTCAAGAGAAACATCACTCTTGATGAGCTGATAACGAAAATTTCAATGAAGGTTCATGTTGGAAGTACTAGAAGAATGTCGTCGCTTCAGTACAGATTTCCAACATCATTGTTTTTGTTAACTTATACAGTATTCGAACTATCGAACAATGATGATGTTAAAATGATAGTTGATTCTCAAAATCATTATTCATACGTCGATACGAAGATGTATGCAAAGTTTGTTGAAGTGTGTGTTTTTCGGAGTCTGTCATTAAACTCTCACTATGGGCTGGCTGAACATGTTGATCAAGTTGACAGCCCGACTACAGTAATGTGTAATGATTTTAATGCCATAATGGGAAATCTGCATCATGGTGCCGTCCCATCAACTTCAATGGGGAGACATTCATGAGCAACTCCTTACAATCTGTACCGAGGTGGGTCTACGAACAATCCGTATGTCAACATCGCGTCCAGTTCAAGGGGAAGACATTCATCTGCGAATGTTGATATGCCTTTTAGTTCAATGGGAAGTCATGCAAATAGTAGTTATTCGACCTAAATGTAGAGAGCATGGAGGAACCATCATCTCCACCAGAAGAACCGCTTCGTGAGCCAGGTGCGGATGGTGCTGAGACTGAACTATTCTGGTCACAAACTTAACCTCCGACACACATGTATGAAGCTGACTATGGTGCAATATACGGGTCAGAATTTGCGGATATGCCTAATATCGGTGACTATGGATTTTACTCATCAGTAAATAATGGTGAGTTATCTTTAGGCATGGAGTTTTCAAGCAATGAAGAAGTGATGATGACTATAAAAAAATTACAATATCCGTAATTTTGTTCAATCCAAAGTCGACCGCTCTACTACAGAAAAATATAACTTAAGTTGAGAGGATTTGAGAGAAGTTGAGAGGATTTGGTATGATGAAAATGAGTGAGAATGGAGGTATTTATTGGGTAGGATGGGAGTGTAAACGGTCCGGTGATTGTCGAAATTAAAGCAAAGGCGCGGCTCATGCACCACTACATTCTGATGCGTGTCAGAATGTCAGGAAGGCGCGATCCATGCAGAGCTCCTTACCCTACATGGCAGAAGGAACGACCCATTCCTTACCCAGAGTGGTGCCATGTCAGCATAAGGCGCGGTGCGTGGGTCGCGCCTTATGCCACGTGGCGTCACATCAGGATAAGATGTGGTGCATGGGCCACGCCTTTCTGCAAAAGGTGTGAGATCGGGAAATAAAGTTCAACAGGCGTCTGACAGGGAAATAGAGTTCAACGGGTGTCTGACAGGGAAATAAAGTTTGAAAAGGTGATTTATTGAGAAATTCGCCTTGTTACAGACGATGTACTCGAACTTGATACCTCTAAGAATAAAAAAAGAAGACTAAAATCGCTTGATTCATATAATTTTTTTTAATTATCTTCATTTTCTATTATTAATATGAATTATTAGTTTTCATTAATCTATTTAGAATATAGAGATTAAGAATTCCAAAATTCTGACCATGGAAGAATATTTTTTTTTATCTAATTTCTGAAAATATTTTATAAAAAAAATTAAAAATAAAATTATTCGGTTCACGCTAACTCAGTTTATTCCATTGAAGATCATGTGTACCCTGGCATGAACCGGACATTCTTTTTCTTCTGGGATCTGAAAAAGGCATAATATTCTGATGGAAGAAGACGATGGGAATAAAATAAAAACCGGTTTTTCTCCATTTTTGTATAATCATGTTCGGTTCGATACTTCGATTCGGTTCCACAGGATAAACATGTTAGTCAGAAAAGACTAATAATTTAGAAGCTAACTGCACTATGGGATTACCTGGGTTTCACTTTCACCAAACATCATGTTTCTTTTTCTTTTGCCAGTCATTGTCCTCCAAAGGCCTTTTCGTCCCTTTATGTAAAGAAGCAAAAAGGGCTTAGTAGTTTTATGCTTTTAGGTACCAAATCGAATAAAAATAAGGCCGGGATAAGGATAGATCGAAGGAGCGTTGAAGCGATCATATTTATATTCGTTCTTTTACTAAGGTTGTTTGTGGAGTAGCTCCGACTCGAACTAGCAAAATGTTTGATGCACCTTAGGTTCGAGTCCTGAGCTTATTCTCCGAAATGAGGTTTGGTTCGATTGGACTCAACTCCAAACTTAATCGGACTCAAATAAATGCATGCATCATGCATACATGGAAACAAAAAATTTTGCTTATAGATGAAGGTTGCATACTCTGATAGGCACAAGCCAATTAGAGAAATCCAACATACAGAGTTAAACTATTAGTATGGAGTTTCATAATTTACATCTCAAACACCCTTTGCTTCTTTTATACACACTGATAATCGGTGCACACCATAATCGTCGTATCGTACGACCGAGCAAGGTTATTACCGTCGGCGATTTGAGGTTCTACCAAGGGTTGGTTATTGTTCTTCTCAAGCATTGTCTTTTACTTCCCCAAGGTCGATTCACTTTCTCTCGCATCTGTTTGAATTAGGCCACGGAAGAGTGGAACAATATCAGGGTTACAATACTACCAACCAACTTCAATTAATGTGCAGATGCCGTCATGCTAATGTTTTCGAAAAGTTTGGGGTTTTTTTTCAGGCTTTTCGACAGGAATCGGAGATCGAGTTTGCTGTTTGCCAATGCTAATGTAAATGCAAAGTGGGAATGGAAGAAAGAAGCATTACCCGATTGTTCTGCATTTCCATCATCTCTTCCTGCACCAGCCAAAGTGCAGTTAAGGTATGTCATCGACATCGACCCGACATTTTCGATACAAGGAATGTTATTCGGTCGATAAGACAAACCTGTTTCTCCCGCAATTCTCGGTTCGTTTCTTTTAGTTTAGCAACCTCGGCCTCGAGTTCCAATGTATAGGCCTGTAAGAGATTCGGTATGGTTAACATACAATCTAGTTTTGTACAATTGAATGGTACATGGCACTTGACACAACTCGCCTGCTTTCGAGCTCGTGACCTCGCAGCCGACTCTCGGTTCTTAATCATTCTCCTCTGCCTTCTCTCGACTACTTTCTCCACAGCTGGGCTGCATTTTCTCCCCTGGCCGAATGCGTAAGGAACCGGCGATGGCGGATCGGATTGCAGCATGATGGATTGAACCAGATTACCATTCATACAAGGAGCAATACCAAGTGTTTGTTGCTTGGGGAAAAGCGGTTGTTTCTGTTGTTGCTGCGATGATGACTTGAATCCACTCGTGTTCAATAGTAACCTCGGTCCGTCATCGTTCGAATCCGCCGGTCGAAACGCCAGAGCCGAAGCGGAGTTGTTACAGATGAATCTACCATTATTTGTCGTTCCAATCTGTGCCTTCAACAAGAATTCCTCCAGTGTCATCGCCCCGAGAGTCGGTCCCCTCGCCGGCGAATTCGCTTCTCCATCTTTAGCACTATCGGTTTCTTTCATCAAGTACTTCCATACTTCATCAACCGTCTTTGAACTCAGAGTCCTCGGCAAATTCGAAGGAACCGAAGCCGCCGCAGCGGCGGCGGCCTGATTCTCATCGGCGGTCGAGATATTCCTCAACAGTTCATCCATGTGCATCGATCCAAAGTCCCTCCCGAGTCCACCAAAGTTGCTCTGCAGCTCATCAAAGGTCAATGAGTATATAGATGATTGCCTAGCCAATGGGAAATCGCTGCCTGGCTTCGACCCGTCTCCTTCCATGCTTGGACCACCATCTCCAAAGTTGTTGAAATTCAGGCGAGACCCCATTCTTCTCCACAAATTTGCCCTGCAAATCCATCAACTGAAGCTATCAAACTAGCAAGAGAATCCGACCCATCTATGGGAACCCATAAAGGCTACAACTTTAACAAAATGGTAGAAAATACACAATCATACACAGAAACAAAACGATTTCTCCTGCAAATCCATCCAATTATGCAGCTAATACGCTGGAAGAATACATTTTCGTGTCGTTTTTCTCGAAAAAGAAACACCCAGATCCAAGAAATTCAATCCTGGAGCGGGAAAACCAATCAACACTCAACAAATGTGAAACAGCTATTTCCCATAAAACAACCCAAAATTCCAAAGCTTTAACGGAATCTGTTCATAAAAGCTATCAAGTGACAACAATACAAAAAGAAAAAAAGATATGAAATTTAAATTTCTTTATGAAAAGAAGAAGCTTTCACTACAAAAATATCTCTTTAACCCATTCAAGTAGTTCCCTTCATTAAGCAAAATAAACATAAGAAAACGACGAGAGAGAGACAGCAATGACAATGGGGGGGGGGGGGGAAAGAAAGAGAATGCTGATATTGTTTTTACCTTTTGATTTTATTTTTGCTAAAAAATTTGGGTTTAAAACAAAATAAAGAACTAACGTTGGAAATCGATAGGGAGAGCTTTTATGGGGAGAAACAGCTCTGGGGGGAAATCGTTTAGCTTTGTGGAGAAGACAAGTGTCTACTGCCGCCCCTACGCGGGGTTGATATTTAAGGTGCTTTCCCAGATTTTTGGTGGATTTAGCTGCCGGTCTAATTTCAGTTTCATCCCTTTACTATATGGAAATTAAGAATGTAGTACTTTTATTTTGCTTTGATTCTGGTATCTATCTCGCAAAAGTTGAGAAGTTAGTCCGATTGGATAACACTGTATATTTGGATGAAAAAAATAACTAAAATTGACATATTCTAAGGGTCAGTTTAGTATAGATTTTGAAAAACGACTCTTAAAAATATTGTAGAAACAAACTTTTACAAGTGTTGTACAAAAGTGTAGTTTAAAATTTAATTGTTTGAGAATACTGTTAAAATGTGAGTTTGAAAAGATAAAATATACATTATAGATATTAGGTTATAAATTAAAAATATAACATTTAAATTATATTTACAATTATATACAAATAATATTAATTTAAACTATAATAAATTTAAAACTATATTACTGTAGTTAGATTGCTAACACTAAAATAAATAATTTAGTCATTTACATGTAAGGATTAATTAGTAAAAATCGATAGTTGAAGGACTTACATGCTACAAATTAGCAAAGATGAGATTCCTAGATTTTGCAAGGCACAATATCAGATTCTGATGACGTTTAGTAGATGGATTAATTTACGAGATTTTATAAAATAGAGGGATGAGATTTGAATCATATCTGTAATATAAAATGGACGGATGAGATTGCTTTAGCATTCGGGGTGGCGCAACGTGGACCAATGAAAGTGGGAATCGGATTTTTGACTTGACGTCTACCGAACTCGGAAGAGAAACATGGATACTTTCTAGCCGTCAGATATGCTTTCCTATAAGATGATCGAATGGGTGTGATTGCTTTGAGTGATAGGATTTTTTTTACAAAGACCTAAAAATGAGGAAAATTAAGAAAGACTACCAATGTTACATTACCTCGATTCTTTTATATTATCGGTCACATATTTAAAAATATTTTTTAAGGTAAATTAAAATAATAATAACATAAAATTTTAAATAGAATGAGTATAAATAAAATTTCAGGTAGATATAGTCCGTAAAATAAGTAATTAATCGAAGAAAATTTTGATTTTAACATGGGTACAAAAATTTTAAGGTCGACACTACCAATGAAATAAATAACTAATCGAATAAAATTCATATTTCATGGTAGATAAACGTCTACTCTCACCAAGCCGTAGTTCCACCGCTATTTATTATAGAGTATGTAATTAATAAATTTTTAACATAAAATATTTAAATAAAAAATATTTTTAACAGAGACATATAAGAATAAATTAATCACCGTTACTAAAAAGGTAAATATATATTTTGGCACTCAAAACTCTTTTCTATCCGATTATATAATTGAATTTTTTTATATGACATTGATCGGGTTTTTTTTAAAGACAGTGGTCGGTTTTAGTATTATAAGATGATTATAAAATAATATATGTTTAATTTTTTTAATATATTAACAATGAATATATCTACTTACACATATGATTGTAATTGATAACAACAATCCTTTACCCATTGAGATCAATTGATGAATTCATATAACGTTGATTTTTTTTTATTAAATCTAGAGTTTATACAAGGTAGTATATGTTCAGAAAGTCTAAATCATTTGACAATAAACTCTCGTAATTAGGGGTGTTCAAATCTGGGTAGCCGAGTCCTCAAGTACTTGAGTGGCCCACTCGTGTCCTGACTTAGATGTTGCGGGTAATCGCGTACTCGGTTTTTTTTATAATTTTCAAATTATTAATTTTTTTTAAAAATACATAAGTTTAAATATTCAAATTACTTACTCCAACATCTAAATATATAATTTAAAAGTAGTTTTTTTCCAGTTACAGGTTTTTTATTTTATTAGTTTAATTTAATATATAAATTTATTAATAATTAAACATGTAATATTATTATATATACAAAATAATTGTAAATGAGTATTCAAGTAATCGGGTACCCGAAAAAAAATTAATTTTGTGACTCGGGTCAATCCCAGAAAATGTCAGGCTAGGTATCGACCCGAAAGTTATTTTTTTTATAAAAAGTACCTAGATTTTTTGATCGGGTCGCCAGGTTAAGTCATCCGGATCGTATATTTTTTAGCGCTCTTATTCATACTCTTATATATATATATATTTAATATTCAAACTCGATATCTTAAAAAAATAACAATAATCTTTTAATTATTATTTTTTTTATTCTTATTAATACTGATATTTAAATTAAAATATTTCACTTGAGAGTGCTATACGGTCGCATCATATCATCGCATGACCATGATGCCAATCCTCATATTGGTGTATGATGTCTGTGGAGTAGAGGCAAATATTTGACCCACGATTAAATGTGGTGTTTCAGTCGAACGACGTGGCGCCCACCGCACACCCACACCCTATCATGGTGGGCCCGCACGTTTGTAGTCTTAGTTCACGTCATTGAGTAATTTGTTATCAAACAAACACCCCCCACCCCGACAACAAAACCCCGGTGTCCCATCATTTGTTATCAAAGTTTATTGTTTTCGAAAAATATCTATCAAGATGAATAATTTTTTATAATTATATTTTTATGTTTAGTTTACCAAAAATATTATTATTAAATAATAACTCATTACTAATAATAGTTAGTTTATATTAAAATAATAAGAAAATCAATATCTTTAAATTTTTAGATAATGAATAATTTTCACAATCTTAGACATTAATGTGGGAAATCGGATTATTTCTCACATGAACGTAGTTTTAAAATTGACCTAAAATGTTAATATCAAAACCACCAAAGGTTACACAGCGGATAAACCCGTTAAACTATTGAATATTGAAACACAATGGAAAAATCGAATAAAAAAATAAAGGAGAGAACACACCAAATTTACGAGGTTCAACGAAAATATCGTCTACTCCTCGGGCACCACACCGGATGATAACTTCACTATCAACAAAATATTACAACAAATGAAATTCTTTAGAATTCCCAAAATGAGAGAATGAAGAAAACAAATGGAAGAGAGAACTTGTTTTGGGATGATTTTAATGAAATACTTAGACCTATTTATAGTTGAGTTCTAAGGACTAAACTTATAAATAACCTAATATTTTAAGGACCAAACATGAAAAATAAGTTGGCCACCTACCAAATAATTTTCCAATGAGTTGGCCACCAACCAAGATTAATTTTTCAATAAGTTTGCCACCGACCAAGATGAAGTTTCCAATCTTGCCAAACTTAATTTCAAGTCAAACATAACAATTAATACTTCTGAAATAATAATTTTTTCATATAAATATTTATCAATTCTTATTCTTCGAGTTTTACTCAAAATTATAAACATAATAATAATAATATACAAATGGTTTGATTTAATAAAATATTAATAAATTTGAGCAATTGAAATTATTTTATATTTTTAATATTTAATATATTAATTATTTTATAATTTTATGATGTGAAAATATTATTATTGTAAAAATGTTATTATTTAAAATAATATTTAATTTTAAGTTATTAAAAAATGTATCTTATACATTAAAAATTAATATATTTATCCGCTCCATATCACAATATTATTTTTCATATTATATTATATTTTATATAAATAAATATGATACTTATGAAAATTATTTAAAATTAAAAGTTTGATATATTAATTATATTAAATAAATGTTAAATGTATTTTTTCTTTAAACTTAAATAGTGTAATAATTAACATATTTTTATAAATTTTCATTCAAATATTTATAATCTAATATTAAAGTTTTACTTGTTAAAAAAATATATATCAAAAAAATAATTTGGTAAAATATGCATCCAATTAATCTTATATTCATCAAACAAAATACTGTAATCTTACATTCATGCTAATCAAACCAAACCGGGTAATACAACATTCTCATAGTAATGTTACATTCCGGTAATCTTATTCCCAAATGTAATATTAAATTTCGTAAACCAAACGTACGCTTATAGTAAGAAAATATTGAAAGAGAAAAAATGTTTAGTATATATATATATATATATATATATATATATATATATATATATATATATACAAAGTCGCTAAATTTTAATAAAATCAAAAATATTCATAATTACAATGAAGATTTATAAGTATAGTTGTAAACGTAAAATAAATTATAATTATGGCATTTTTCTATAACAATTGACACAAAAATTAGTCACCTAGATCACTCAATGATCAAAGAAGAAAAAGGTTAAAAAACTAACCAAAATTCTCGAACAAGATAAAGATTCGAATAAATCTTGCTGCATTGGCAAACGAACCACAAAAGAAAATGGAGTTATTGTAAGACCACCGACAAATCACAAATCAGAGTCAAACGACATGAGAAAACTATCCACAAACGCAAAATGTGTATCCAAATTAATCCGAGGATTTAAAGCAGGAAAGACCAACATGATAAAAAAGAAGTGTCTTCTTTATTAGTCGTGGTGATATCAACTCTAACCATGAGAAAAAAAATAAACGAAAATAACGGTCAAACGACCAAAAAATATCAAAATACGTAGATAAAAGTGCACAAAGACAAATGCGTCACAAAAACATACTTATTCTTATTAAA